AAATTGAGATGCAAACATGTTTGCTTTTATTCTCTGGCCTAGAAAGAAAGGCCTCAGTTATATCTGAAATACTTAAAGAAAACAATTGTGTTAAGAATGAACATTTCTCATCCATTCAGGTTAGAACAACAAGTCTACACTCATTATTATGTGAGTTTCATGGAGATCTATTTGTTAAATCTAGGTTCTTTTTGAATTTGAAAGCTTCCAATTTCAGGCTGTATTTCCTCTTTTTATGATACTTTTAGCTATTTTTAAAGGAAATTTTATTTCCAACTATAAAATTCTATTTTCATTTCAATGAACAATGGGTTATGATAGATAGTAAGGAAATTTGCCTTCAAAAAACACAAGGTAATATTTGATACCCACTTGTTTTGCTTCTTATTTTAGCATAAATATCTGTATACATACACATATGTATACACTCATCCCTGAAAATGTTGTAGTGTGGGGTTCTTGCATAAAGTATAAAAGATCAACCTCTTTCCAGTCACAAATGATTTGGATGTTACTTTTACAGATTCCAAGGTATGAAGCACATATTATCATTATAATTATTAAAAAGAACTCATATCTATTTCTCACAGGCTATTATGGTTGTAGGAATAAGTCAGAGATTTAATGATAAGCATTTAATCCAGATTAATAATTTGGAGGTACATTTGATCATGTTTTCTCATTTAAGTAGCACTGAGAGGAAACTTAGTTTCTATTAGAAATACTTTATAAATTTTTAATCCCAGCACATGGGAGGCTAAAACAGGAGGATTTCTATGAGTTCAAGGACAGTCTGAGCTGCATAAGTCACTTCAAGGTCAGCCCATACTATGCAGTGAGACCTTGTCTCAAAACAAAACAAAAAACAAAAAACAAAACCCCAAACATTAGTAGTTACGATTCAAGCTCTGGGCTTCTCTGGCCGCTAACCAGAATAAATTATTTTTTGTTGCAATAATGTATCTTGACTCTAATTTTTTGTCTCTCAACTTTTAAAATCTGAGAATGTAATTAATCTCTCTACACATTGGTTGTTGGTTGTTTAAGTATAATGCTATGGAAAACAGAAGCACCAAAATGACACTCAGAATTTGGAGGCAGAGTTATTTATGGTGATGATCACTGTGCCTTTTGAACCTAATCCTGGGACTGGGGGTCCCCTCATTGTTCCCTTCCATAAAGACCTTTTGATTTCATAGTCATGGTTTTCTGTGGGTATTTGCTATGCTTTTTTTCTGGCTGGGGCATTGCTGAGTTGCTGAAGTGCCCAGACTGAACTCCAATGTGACCTTCCGGCCTCCAGTTCCCAGAGTGCTGGTATTGTCTACATGTTCCCCCATGGCCAGTTCCCATTATCTATTTTGAGTCTCACATTGACATCATAACACAGATACAAAGTATCTGACCCCAAAACCAAACAGAAAAGCAGAATGGTGAAAAGCAGAAAAATAACTTAACAAAGCAATAATTGTACCAAGAGTCTTCAGCCCTGTCTTCAGAGAAATATCATGACCTCAGGTATAAGTAGGGGAAATCTAGGATAGAGGTTGGGAGTTCCGCATGATGAGGCAATCTTGGTCAAACTGCAGTCATTATCTCAGGCCTGGGACTGCAAGATGTTTCAGAGACATCATTAATCGTCTGAGAGGGCAAGTGAGCTCTTTTTATGAGACGGTTGCTCTTGCCTAGGGGTCAGCCTCCATTTCCATCTTAGAGCACTGGCTTCTGCTTGTGGTCACATCATATCAACCAGGTGACCTGTTTGCAAGTCATAAGCTTACTGCCAGATTTAGGCCAATAGAAGGAGACTTCTCAGCAGTGCCCTGTGTGTCTGAAAGAGGACATTGTAAAAGATGGTGGTTGATCACTTCCCCATTCATCTTCAAAATACCTTACTTACTGTTATGTCAGGTTTTCTGCCTAGAAGAGAGAGAGAGAGGCTAGGTAAATGCGGGTGCACCCAACACGACATAAAAGTATTTAGGCAGGTACTTCTTCAGTGATTAACAAGCCTCCATACAGACTGGAGTGGGAATCTCATCCAAAGAGAAAGGTATGATGGAGATAGATACAAACCGAAAGCAGAGATGCCAAGTTTAGCTCATACTTTTAGTTACTTATTGGGCATCTGTAGGTCCAAGTGAAGAGAAAGTGCTTTCAGCAAAAGCATATTCTAAGCCTTTATTATGTTACAGTTTTACACATGAAGAAAGACAATTGTTTTCCAGTGTCACAGATCAGACCCAGGGCCTTCTGCAAAGTGCGCTGCTCTCCAGCCTTTGGGAAACGCAACTTAAAGAGGTCAAATTAAACTAATAATAGTGAGAGCAACACTGGCAGAACTCTCTGCTCAGCGCTGTGTACTTCACTGCATTATCTCACTTAACTGCTTCTAATAAAACAAGAGCTCACTACTATTATTTTGGCCTCATTGGAGCTGAAATACCTGCTGGGGTAGGTTAGTAATTCCTTTTCACACAGGAAAGAGAGTATCCAGAAATTGGGTTATCCATCTTAAGGTCACTCAGATTTTCTAGCTTGCAGGTCTTAAAATGCAGTCTTTTCAACCCTGCTTTGCATCTACTCCATTATAAACAAGTAAACTGCAAAGGAAAAGGGGAAAAAAAACCCAGCTGATG